TAAATTCAAAAATTACACAAAAAATGAGAAATTTTAAATAGTTAATTTGATTCAAATATCGATATATTTTTGTCAAATTTTTATGATATCTACAATTTTATATTTTATTCAAAAATATAAATATTATTGGTTTTTCAAAAATCACATAAGAACATATTATAACATCGACTGAAATAAAAAAATAAAACAAAATATTAAAATAAAGATATATCTCGCTGTATTACGCGAGTATCATTCTAGTTCATTTAAATGAATTAGATGGTGCTCATACAATGTAACTGATTATATCTTGATTTTATTGTTTCCTTTTATTCTTTGTCTATTGATATAATACAGTTTTATATGTTTTTGAGAAAGTGATAATGTTGTTATTTTTTAATAATAACATATTCTTTTATAAATATAATAATTAAATATTCTATTAGTTTTTAACGAATCAATTTATTTTTGGTTTAATAATATACTTTTTTGTAAAGATAATAATTAATGATTCTATTAGGACTCAATTATTATTTTAATTATATTTTAGATTTTTAATATTTAAAATGTAATGTTTATCCTGTATATGATTATGTTTATCTGCAGTTAGTTACACGAATTCAAAAATGAAGGTTTAATAAGTTATACTTATGCATAATTTACTTTAATCCTGAATTTTAAATAATATGCATCAATAAACAATACTTCATATATAAAAAATAATTTTTTAGAGATTTTATCAAATGTTTTATAATAAAGTATATATTAGCAATTTTAAGTCTTCATGCATGGGTATTTGAGGTGGTGGCCTATGTCCAAATAATATTAAACCTTCTATTTAAATTATTCGGTTATGGTTTGTAAAACAATTATAAAGAAATGAAGAATCCTTGTACACACAAGTTTTTGAAAAAGAAAAACAAAAAGTAGTAAAGATAACACATAATTTAGATATGTTATCGTTCACATCGTCTGCCACTAACACGTAGCACGCTGATGTTTCAATCCATGTCTTTTTCCATTGCCCCTTCACGGTCGTTGTCGACCCCTCTCCCCTCTCGCACAACATGTGACCGCCGTCTGATTATGTCCCTCCCCATACATCACATTCATTTGCCATCCCTTTTCTTTTTCAAAATCTCTCAACTTTTGACCATCATAATTTGATCACATAACAAATTTAAGTTGGGATGTTTTTGCCCTTTGTTTGGTGCAAATGACAATTGTTTGATGATCTCCTTCAACATTTGCCTTCTTAGTAAAAAAGATGCACATTTATTTAATGGGAATGCAATGTTCAACAATATCATTTTTAAATAAAAGAATTTGTATTTATGAGTACCATCTTTAAATCATCACAAATCTATAAGTACAAAGAAACAAGAAGGGTAATATTGAAGCATCTATAAAAAGAAATGGAATTTACTTTATACATGCATACTATGTATACTACTGTTCCAACCGTGCATTGCACGATAGTCTTATCATCTCCAAAATAAATGTTATAGATTAAAATTTGAAGTCCGCTTCTAAAAAAAATTAGGCAAATGTGTGTGACAACTAATCATTAACATTAAAAGTTTTTAAGAGAAGTTAACAACAATTTTAGAACCATATATTAATTTAAGTTATCTAACTATGCTCGAGAATGGTGTTACAAAGTATCCTACACATGTTTGACTAATGTTAGTAGTTTGTTTAATTAGAAGTTACAATTCTAACTGAAATCTCATATAAGGTGACAAAATCAATATGTTAATTTTGTAACAAATTTAATTGAAATCTCATTTGAAATTATGAAAATGAAACGTTTTATAACATTTCAAGTGAAAATTGGAGGAGTGTGTAAGTTGTAGCAACAATTATAGATTTCAAAGAAGGTCATCCAAAGAAAGACAACTCTATGAGGCAAACTCCATTATTTGACACAAAGGCATTCAATCCACCTTTCTTATACACTTTATTTTGTTTAAATCTTTCAACTCTTCACTAATGTGGGATATCTCAAACTCAAACACAACTCATTAACACCTCAATACTCTTGATACATATATTCATTGATCACTTCAAGGTTTTGGATCAAA